AAAATTGAATTCATTTTCAACCCCAGTGGGTCAAAAATAAACTAAATCGGTCGCTCTTATCTCAGCTATTAAGATGATCACGTTTCTGAGCTAATCTGGGTGATGTTTTCTTTAAAGTCAGTGCATATATGATGCTTCAGTCTAGGAGTGATGTCATTTCTTACCACAGCTAATTAAAGGTGTTTCAGGGTTTCCTAATGACTTTGTGGCCCACAGGTGCTGATTTGAGTTGAGCTTTAAAGCTGTTTATAGCTGGTTAGACATGTTACAGACAAGCAGGTGCCCGTTGTGTGTGTGTTTTTAACTTGAGCTAATTCAGGCTTTGAAGCCTACAGGTGCTGAGTTGGGTGATTTTTATTTTATTTTTTTTTACAACAGATGCAATGTCAGCAGGTGCAATGGTCACATCTGACTGTGGCTGCTTGGTGTGATGTCTTGCAGAAATGCTTAAGGAAGGGCTTTTGCTTGTGATCATCATGTCTGAAAGGCCAGGAAGGTTTTATTAGGGGTTAGTGTGGCTGAAATACTGCAAGGATCAATTACGACCACATGGAGCTGGACTAAAACCAGAAACTGTGGAGTCTTACATCATTTAAACATAAGTTTTTTTTACAGTTTCTACTCAACCAGTACAAGAATGCTCTTGTGTTTTAGCACAGTGCTCTAGCAGAGCAGCAGCTTCAATCCTCCAAAGTATGAAATGCTTTTAAGCTGATCACTCAGTATGAGTCACTAATGTGGCATCAGTAAAAGCCCAACAATTATTATGCACATAAAACAAACAAAAACAAATGGCTTCATGAAAAATAACGCCTTGATTTCTACGTGTAGCTTGACTAATACACCACTCTGTGAGTTTGTGTATGCTGGTAGATTGCTTTTACATTCCTGCCTTTTATAGATATTTCCAACCTTTATTTATACAGGTTAGTCTCACTGAGCCTCGAGGACTCATTTACAAGAGCGACCTGCATATCACCTGTAGATATTTTCTTTAGCTTCAAATAATGACAAACTAAACCAGAGTAAACATCAATGTAGCAACAATGCTAACATTACAGCAACATTTTGCCCTAAAGCTTGCAGGTATTAACCAGGTCAAGCATCCTGGCTTAGCATATTAGCATGCTAATGTTTCGTCCGTCATCTTTACCCGTGTTTCTTACTTTTTGGGTCACATGGGGTCACTGGTGCCCATGTCCAGCCATCACTGAGAGGCAGGGGACACCCAGACAGATTGCAAGTCCACGAGACAAACAAACATTCACACTCTCGTAACAAATGGTAATTTTGGTAAATAATAAATAAATAGAAATTTGCAGATGTTTTATTATAAAACTAAAAAGTTCTTTTTTTATTCATTCTTATTATCTGTACTAAACATAGGAGCCAAGTTAGCATGTGAGGCTCACATTTTTTGCTCTTTCTCATGCTCTTTAACCACATATCTGTTTTCTCATGCATAGTAACACTAACCAGCAGAGGTAGAAGGTCTACTGACAATTTGTACTCAAGCACAAGTACAGTTACACTGCTTAAATTGTACTCACTTACAAGTAAAAGAAATACTGGTGTTATAAAATACTTTAGTAAAAGTACAAAGTACTATTCTCAAAAACTACTCAGAGTATTAATTACTTTTTAACCACTTGATGTTGTATTGTGTTGTCAATAGAAGTCATTCAGTTTGATTTACTGTATATCACAGCTACATTCAAAGCACATTTCTCTGATGCTCAGAAGCGCCGTCTTATTTTAGTACCAGGCGAACCGATGACAGTGACAATATCTAAGATCTTTGCAAACTTAGCCAAACTAATAACCCACACATACAAACAATAAAACTGCAATATCATACAGGTAGTTGTAAAACCTCGTATACGTAATATGTGTTTTTGAGACTAGATGCTGAAGTCTTGTTAGCTGCTATCACCGTAGAGATCAAACAAAGTTTGCATCTGGACACTGTCTCCTTTTCACCCTCAGTACATGAAAAATTCCTCCATTTTGTTTCTTTCTCCAAATCTTTGGTCCATAAATGACTCTCTACTCTACGGAGTTGTCCTTTGCTTACGTCGTAGGTAACTGGCGTGTTCGCGATCTGAGAGCCTTATTGGACACAAAGATGCAGATGAACTGTTTGAATATTAATTCAAATTGTGGCCGTACTCTGTAGCGACTTCTGATTTTAAAAGTAGTGAAGTAGATTACATGGTTTAATTGTACTTGAGTATGAGTAAAATTACAAACTTGAAAGAAATACTCGTAAAAGTACAAGTACCCCCCAAAAATCTACTTAATTACAGTAATGTGAGTATTTGTAATTCATTACTTCCACCCCTGCTAACCAGGATGCAAAAAATAAAAATCAAGATAAAAACAGCGGCACGGTGGTGCAGTTGGTAGAGCTGCCACCTGAGAAAGTTGCCAGACTCCTCCCGTCCATTCTGGGTGGAGTTTGCATGTTCTCTCCGTGCATACGTGGGTTTTCTCTGTACTCAGTTCTTCCCACAGACCAAAAACATGCATGTTAGGCTGATTGGTGACTCCAAATTGTCCCTAGGTGAGTGAGAGAGTGAATGGTTGTTTGTCTTGTTTGTCTCTATGTGTCCCTGTGATGGACTGAAGACCTGTCCAGGGTGTCCCTGCCTCTCACGCAGTGACTGCTGAACATGGGCACCATTGAACCCCGTGACACAAAAAATGGAGAGGCAGGTAAACATAATGGATGAATGAAGACAAAAACAGAAAGACATTACTTTTTTTTTGTTTTGTTTTGAGTTCCTAGTTTTATTTCAAATATCTACTTTCTTCCAAATGTAATTTTATTTTCATCCACCATTACTAAAACGTCATAATTGTGAGCTTGATTTGAAAAACAGTAATTTTATCTTGTAAAAACATTGATTGATTAGAAGGTTAGAAGCAAGTCCCTCAGTTTTCTGCTCAGCTTGTGCGATCAATTCCAACGTGAAGCATTCAGACGACTTTATAATCAATACCACAGTAACTCATGACCATTTCAGCCTCAAAGAGACTATTCTTGAGTTTATATCATCCCAGTTCACAAACTGGCCCGTTACAGTACAAACTGTTTTTAATTTGATTTGAGTCAGAAGACACCAAGGACAGTAAAATGAGATTGGCAGTCTCCCAGTGGACAGGGGACATTTGGGATAATTCACATCTCAGGACAGTTTGACTCTGAATTGTTCTTGAGCTTTTTTTTTTATAAATGAACAAAGCCAGACTGGCCTGAAGCCACCTTAAATTAGCTAAATTAGATGTGTATCTTTTCTGATGTGTGTGTGTGTGTACCTTTAGAGTTAAGGGGTTGTCCATAACAAAGTTAATAGAAACAGGAAATAGAGCTTCTGTGGGAGAGGAAGCCACAGAGGAGAAAGGATGGAGGATGAAACACAAGAGATAATATATCTTGGCTTGGATTCCTTTTCAGGACTCAGCAGGTCTGGTTCTCACTGAGTTTGCAGAAAGTTCACTTTTATATAAACTAAGCCATCGAGATCCACACAGGACTAGCAGCAACACTTGTTCTAACTCTTCTACAGTGCTTGCATAAAGCAGTGAGAAGGGTTGTGACATACATTTGAATATAAATGACTGATTTGCATTTATTTCTGTTAGTATGACTTTCAGCATCTGACTGGAACAAAATGTAGAACAGTACCACAGTATTCAGACATTTCTGCTTAAATAATCACTTAACACAAAACTGACATCATTGTTTGAATGACTGAATGGATACTTTATTTTATCCCTGAGGAAGATACATTAGTTTGCCTGAACCTATGTGAAACGTTGCAATTTAATTTTTGTTTTTTAAGACAGCAGTAATTCCCTTTCTACTTGGCCCCACTCTGACTCGCTATTAACTTGACGGTCTAATCATTAATTCTCTAACCTTAGGTATTTCACATAGCAGGTAAGATACTGGCTGCTCATAACTTCTCCACAAAACCTCATTCGTGCGTTCCTTTGAATGGATAGTTATAAGGAAGCAAAAGTTTAACCAAAAAACATGAAATTTGCTACTTATGGTCTAGAATATATAATATTGATGTGGCACAGATCAAAAGCGTAAAATCATCCTTCTGTTCTTTTCTTAACATGTTTCATAACACACGTGTCATTCACCTTTTACTAGGTGGCATTATGAAATTAGAGTGACAACTGTGTAATTTTAAAGAATTATTGGACTTAAAATTGACAGTAAAATAGGTAGAGCTGTCATATACAGCCAGCAGAAGTTGTTTATGGATTAATAATTTAGAAATCACTATAGTTATATTAAACCTTGAAACTTTTCAGTCTGATTTAAAGCAGTTAAACAACTGATAAAACAGCCATCATCATATTTCAAGCTTCAAGCTGCTGAAATGCTTCAGTCTAGACATGACTTGAAAGCTTTATATGATGTTTGGCTCAAACGCATTAAAGCATCTCCATCAGAGCACAAACAGCCGCTTGTACTCGTGTCTCTATATGTGGTCCGTGTTCAAATATTCTGTTTGTAATTCCACTTTTCTCCTACTTCTGTCTGCTTCTTCACAAGTCACTGAATTTAATCAATTATCTCGAAGGAATTCACTGGCTAAGTAAAAAAAAAATAATAATAAAGGGTGTCATTGTTGTACGGGCACAAAGAGTCGTGGTTTATGTGGAGCCTCTGTGATATATTCAGACTGAGCCAGGCCATACGGAGCGCAGAGAAGAAGACTTTGTCCTGTATGTCCATCTGAACTTCGACCAGTGAGCTTCACAGTGATGCTCCAAATTCCTCGAGCGGCCGCCAGAAAGACTTAATGTTTTTTTGTTCACATAAATCCTGAAGTGTATCATTTCTGTTTTAGGTTTAATTTAAACCCCTAATTAACTAACCACCCACTTTTATTTGTTATTCTAAGATATTATTTTCTATGTCTTGTTAATTTTTCACTGCAGTAGACTAAAACAACTAATAAACTTTAAACAAGCTTAATATGTGGGACACTTTCTGCTCCTCTGCCCTCGCAGCGCTGCTGACTTGTGTGTTGTCCTTCAACGTGGACCAGAAGAACAGCCTGTCCTTCGAGGGTCCGCTGAATGACATGTTTGGCTACACGGTCCAGCAGTTTGAGAACAGCGAGGGAAAATGGTGAGTTTCATTTTTAGTACATATCTGCACTGCAAACATCCTCGTCATCAAACACAGCCCAGCTTAACGTCTAAAAAAATAAACTTTTAGCGAAAAAGTTCTCACAAAATGAGTAAAATACTTTTGATTAGTCTGTTAAAACCTGCGAAAAGAAAACAAAAGGGATGCAGGATGAGGGAGAACTATGGAGTTGGTGCACCGTGTTTTTCAGACTATAAGGTGCACTTAAAATCCTTTAATTTTTTCAAAAATCAACAGTGAGCCTTATAATCTGGTGCGCCTTATGTATTAATTCTGGTTGTGCTTACTGACCTCAAACTGATTTTATGTGGTACACGGCACTCAAAAATCTGTCAAAATGTTTTAGTTTTGCTTAATGCGCCTTAAAATCCAGTGCGCCTTATAGTCTGAAAAATACGGTAAATCCTCCAGTTTAAGTAAAGAGCAACAGAAATGAAAGACTGGCGTTCCATGAAGGAATGCATATCACCAGTTTTGCAATAATCCAGAAATAACAATCAGAAATTTAGCTTAGCTCAGCAGTAATATTATGTAATCTTTGTGACTGCAACACTCTTAACCCCCACTTTGATTCTGTTATGAACAAAGCTGCAAGGAAAAACTGCTTTAGGGTCCAAATTATTACTCTTATTCTACCCACCCTTTTTTTTTTTTTTGGGCTAACGTAATTTTATTGCAAGAAACTAAGTGATTTTCAAGAACGCCGCTCAAATATAATCTTGGTGGAAACTCCAGAATATTTACGTGCAAAAGAAAGAATTCTTAATAACCTGTAAAAATAAGTAAAGAGGCGCACATCAAACGCTGTTAAAAAGGGAGCAATTTTATACAAACTGTATAAAGTGCAGGATCCTCTTAAATACATTGACACCAAAGGGGGGACTTTCAAAACCTTGTTAAAGCTGGTGAAGTGTTGTATATGGTGCTTTGTCTCCGACTCCTTCTGCATCTCTTCTTTAGTTACCTACCCCAGCTCTAATGGCTCTGTTTCCTTCTCTCCAACCTGTTGCAAAGCCACATCTGATTTGCCTCCACATTGTATTACCCCAGTGCTGCTCTGCAGAGATGATTTTATCAAGCTCACATGAGATCAGTTCCAGTAATTCACTCAGTGCTAATCAGTGGAGCCAGCCGTGACTGCACCGACGTGATTTTAGTCTAGTTAAAAAAAAAAAAAGGTAAAAGCTGCCAAAAATACATTTTTTGTTGAGGTACAAAAATTGCAAATAAATAAAGTTTCATACAGCTGTCAATAATTCTGCCCCTAGTTTAATTATGAAGTAAAATAAAACAGCAGTTTTGTTGGGTCGGCTATAGTTAAACGTAGAAACCAACATTTCACACTAAGATCATTTTATGTTGAGAAGTAACAACGTTAAAATAATTTTTCTCAACCCTTTAAAAATTTTATACACAATCACACTTAATATTGAGCAATTTGGATGAAGGACGAAACGTCTCAGCTTCAAAAAAGAAACGGTCCAGATGACTTGACTGAACATTGCTGGATTTTATACCTGGATTATTGAGCATGGACTTGGTGAATATTGAGCAATCTACTAGTGCACTGCATATGTGTTGGAGATTACTTTTAGCTACTTTGATGCCAAATTTTAGCTCCATATCTGTAAAATTAACTGATATATTGCCATTTATGTGTTTTTAATGCTAGGCTGGCTGTAGCAGCCATGTTTGATTTGGATGGCTCCAAACGTTAAACAGTTGCATATGTACATTCAATAAATAGTTTCTAAGAGTTTTATCAAGATTTTTCCAGTGGTTCACAGATATTTTGCTAACAGACACAAACACAAACCATTCATTTCATAATCATCCACCTTTTAACTTTTAGCTGCAGGTGATAATAAAGAGATTCCAGTAAAAGTGGGGCTCATAAGAAAAAATAAATGACATGTAAATTTGTAGAATTGTGCATTTTAAGTAACTCTCTGTTAGTCAAATATGGATGAGTAAAAAAGTTGTAAACCACAGCAATTCCACTGTGATGTAACACACAGGCTGCCATAAGAGGGAGGTGACTAATTAGATGCACATGTGTCCCCCGCACCCCCACCCAGGTTGCAAAATAGGACGCCTGCACAGAAAAAATGTGCTGAATGTGGCACGGATGGTCCATGATTCATTTTACTGAAGCTTTGACTCACTATAAATTAATTGTGAATGTTGCAAAATAATGTTCCTTCACACAAAAACAACTTGTTGCTTGTTTGTGTTCAGATATTCCTAAGAAATCTGGGAATGATATATCATCAAATCAAAAATAAACATGGCAAATTTAGCTTTTCTACAGCTGGAATAAATGTATCCCCTTCTGACCTTAAACATCTGGCTAATTAAATAATGCCAGAGTTGTTTATTTAACATATTTTACCTGTTGCATCCTATAAATGATACGGTTGTGGTGTTTCTCCCAAGCAGCTGAGAGCAGGGTGAGCTGAGTTGTTGTTGCACTCTGCCTCTGGTTTAAATAGCCCCATTAGAGTTGAGGAATGTTGATAAGACTGAGTGTTTAGATGAAGGTAAATGACTGCCTGTTTATAGCATCAGCATGATAGAGTGACAGGATTTTATAAAACTCACACACACGGGAATGTGTGACATACTGTAACTGGCTAAACTGACCTCAGAATTGCAGTCAGACTAACCGCTGCACTGTTAAGCAAACAAAATACCCAGCAGAATGTGGCCAATTAAATGTCAATTAAATGATTTTATTGTTAGCTTTTCAGAGTTATAGGATTAGCGTGATAATAAAGTTAAGCATCAGTCTCATATGCCTGTTATAATAAGCTATTACAGATTTTCCAGTCCATCGGAAACCTGAAATGTATGCTTAATTTAACAATGTAAGTATAATTGTCAGATTTAAAAGTTTCTGGACCTCCGAGGTGGACCTCTCAGTCGCTGGTTTGAATCTGCCAACTCTTAATAATCTATAATTATACTTGTATTGTTCCTGTTATCATAACTTGAACTGTGGTGCATTTGTGTGAGTTTTGGCCATGTTTAGTGAACATTTAGTGAACCATTGGTTTGGTTCATTAAATATCTCTCAGATCGGAGTCACTGTGTTCAACTTCTTCCAGTTATCTAACTGTTAACAATGGTGTACCACAAGGTTCTGTCTTAGGTCCCACCCTCTTCACAATCTACATAGGTAATGCAGGTCAGATCATCCCTGATGCATCCTTACATTTCTACATTTCATTTAGTGAACCATTGGTTGGTTCACTAACTATCTCTCAGATCGGATGCAATGTATTCAACTTGATGGTACTTCTTCCATTTATCTAACTATTAACAATGGTGTACCACAAGGGTCTGTCTTAGGTCCCACCCTCTTCACAATCCACATGGGTAATGCAGGTCAGATCATCCCTGATGCATCCTTACTGATGCTGGTGATACAGTTGTTTACTGTCAAGCTAAAACAGTTGCTATGACTTTCCAGCTTTTGCAATTTGCTTTTAACATAATCCAGTCAGATTTGTTCTGTCTCAAACTTGTAATAAACACAGACCAAACCATAGGGATGTTGTTTTCAAACAGGAAGTTGGTCCCACAAGTCCTTCCCTCGATTTTATCTTTGAATGGTGTTCCTAAAGGTTGAATTGAATTGAAAATGTTTGTTAACCCAACCCAATAACAACTTGATCCTCTGTTTTATCTGCTAAGGGTTCTGATTGGATCACCTCATTCAGGCCAACCACGTAACCGAACTGGGGATGTTTATAAATGTCCTGTCGGAAGGAGGGACAACACTTGTGTCAAACTGAAGCTACCAGGTAACATATTTGTATGTTTATTTCAGATGTGAACAACATTTTTCTTTCCTTCCAGAGAGTATTTTGATGTACTTATTGAGACTGTAGGGTAACATATTGAATAGAAATACAGGAAGAATACCTGGATTTATCATAAAAACCATCACATCATCTGCATAAATGCAAAGGCTCGCTATCTCCAACATGTAACCAGCAGATGTTGAATATACGAAGAAGGCTGAATACTTTATGTTCCAAGACCCTTTTAATGCTATTTTGTTTTTGTTGATGAAAATTTTAGCATTTTTGTGGTGTTAAGTTAACAGATAAACAAACAAAATTACACAATATTCCTGTAGCATTTGACAGCAGTTGATATAGTTATCAACCATTGGTGAAAACTTAAATCTTTTTTGAACATAAAGCCTTGCCTTGATCTTAAAACAAAAAAACAACAACAACAAAAAAACATGCTTTGGTCTATTTTAGAAAACTTAAACAAACAAACAAACAGAAACAAGGATTTCTGATGTTTACTGATAAATCAAATGTACAAACCTTCTTTCCTTAGATAGATAACTTTACTACTTGGCATTTATAATGTATATGTGAATGTTTTTGTTCAGTACCCTGAGATAACTTCTGTTGTGACTTGGTTCTATATAAATAAACTAAACTGAATTGAATTGAATTGAATTGTTGTAATTTTCCTCAGAATGCCCAACAAAGATCTTGGGTTTAAATTGATTGTTTCAAGCTGTTATGTTTGGGTTTTAAGGCCAGATTTAATGGTCCAAAGGGCACTTCTAAATGAATTTATTTTATTACAATTTTTTTTTAAATTTTAAAATACTTTGTAAAACCTTACAATAAACTGTACATAAACTATTTAAATACTTTTATTTTAACTTGTACAATAAGAACTAATGAAGTGCTGCAAACTTTTAGCACGTCTAATAAACTTTCATATACAAAATGCATATAACGTAGAGAGGCACGGTGGCTCAGTTGGTAGAGCTGCCGCCTCTCAGCATGGAGGCTTGTCTGATCAAATCCCAGCCAGGGGACATTCTGAGTGGAATTTGCATGTTCTCCTTGTGCATGCCTATGTTTTCTCCGGGTACTCCATTTTCTTCCCACAGACCAAAAACATGCATGTTAGACTGATTGGTAACTCTAAATTGTCTCTAGATGTGAGTGAGAGTGAACGGTTGTTTGTCTCATTTGTCTCTATGTGTCCCTGTGATGGACTGGAGACCTGTCCAGGGTGTCCCCACCTCTCATATAGTGACTGACTCAAAAAGGAAGAAGTGGAGATAATGGATGAATGGATATAACGTGTATTTCTTGATTTAACACGAGAGCCAGATCACTCCAGTGATGAGCACTTAAAAGACAACACAAGTCAGCAAGGAGTTAAACATTTTGTGGCTTTGGTGCAGGAGCTCCTGAGAATCTGAAAATAACTTGGACGAAACAAAAAGCAGATTATCTCAAATGACTGCTGAGCTGAAAACATAAACTAACGTGAGCCCATGGCTCTTTTCCCACTTTCACATGGTTTATCCACGTCTCATCAAACAAACATCTACCGCTTCCTACTTTACAATCATGTGTACCAATTTTACAAGGAATTGGAAGCTTGTTGAATCCCGTAATGTTTGTATGTAAACTGATGGAAGATAAAAACGCATATAAGCTTGCGCCACTCTCATGCTGCTGTTTGGTGTGTGTACCTTAGATATTGTGCCTTCAAGTTAACTACATGTCTGGAGGATGTTGGCTCACTGAAACAGGAAGACGGAAGATAAACAGTTTTCATCTTTCCAATTTATCGTAATTAAGCAGATAAACAAAACTTAGCTCCTGATCAGCAGGCTGTAAAGCCCCCATTAGTGTCCCTCCGTGTCTCCACGCAGGACAACCTGAGGGAAGTTCATACAGCTGAATGATCAAACAGGAGGAGCAGTATCCTGTCGCTGGTAGATTTGTATTTGTTTCATCCTGAGCGAATTCAAAACTCTAGTTTAGTCTGCAAAACATCCACTGGGAACTGGTTTAAATTTGCAGCTGGAGCCAGACTGCTCAGCGACAAACTGGGAAATGTTTACAGTCATAACATTAACAGCAGTGCTGAACTTACAGTTTAAACAAAGAATGACATTTTATCAGCTCAGATTGTTTGTTTCCTTTAATGTGAGCATCCCTGGAAATGAGGGACCGCGAGTTGTGTTGTCATCTGCCTCTCCAGTCTCACATCAGCTCCGTCAAACTATAATAAGTGTGGGTTGTTGTGTGTTGTGTTGTAATCTTTACCACACTTCCATCCAAACAGCGAAGCTGAAACGTGGTTGTACCACAGTCATTGACTGTAATGAAATCTCGTCATGTAAACCCACGAGGGTTCTCCTTTTAAACAGTGCTGCAATATGACTACTTGAGTTTGAAAAACTCAATTTATATACAAATAATCTCTGGTTGCAGGTGTCAATCTGGGAGATTAATGCAGGATATTTCCCACACAAATTAATAATCATTTTTCCTCATGCATATAGGGAATTTTTAATTTATTATGTTTGGCTTTTGAAACTGATTTGTTTGCTTTGGCTCCAAACACAGTGATATAAATCAGTAAGTCATGTTCAATATGATTTTAAGATTTTACTTCTATAATGACATCTGAAGCTTTAGTGGTTTTTTTTAACGTTTCTCCAAGAACAGTTACATTTAAACTGTCCTGATATGTCAAACATCCTTGATGACAAACAAAAAACAACACTATTTTCATCACTTCCTGTTGCAAGTGACATCATCAGTAACAGGATGTCTGTGTTATTTCTTCTATCAGACAATTAGGAAACCAGACGCTTAAAGAAATAGTCTGGTCTTTTCTGAAGTGATGTGATATAATGAATAGTTGGTTTCAGCTGTGATATAGAGCATTGAGTCTGGAGAAAAGGGTAAAAGTATTCATGCATGCTAGGCTAATGGCCAGCAATTTTTAAAGCTTAAATAAAACTCTTTAAACACGTACAATCAAATAGTATCACAGCCATGGCTTTGTTGAGAAAAAAGCAACAAACTAAGCAAATTATGTCACACAAAAGTTTAGTGTTCTTTCACACCGGTATGATGTTTTGAGAATTTTTTTTTTTTTTAATTAACCTGAAAAACTACATAAACTACCGTAATTGCCTGTGTATAAGCCGCTACTTTTTTCTCACACTTTGAATCCCGCAGTTTATACACATGAGAGGCTAATTTATGTATTTTTTTTAAGATTATTGTAATATTTTATTGTATTTTTATATTTTATTTCGACTAAACGAAATAAAAGGCAATAGAAGAATAAGTGTGAGGTATTCTGAAAACTTGACTCCAGAACACGTTCTTTTCCATCCCTTGTATGGTTTGTTGGTTTGAATATTGGAATAAACTTGAGTATTGAATAGATAGTAGATACACAGAGGAACCAGGAATTTATACAAACATTAACAACTCACTAACGACATTAATTTTATTTCCCCTCCTGGGAAGCCTGATCTGGAGCTGAAATGGCATGTGAATGTATTTGTGTATCTCTGAAGGGGAAAACCAAATAAGATCTAAAGCATTCCCAAAAAAGCTAATTTTAGCCACATGTTGTGCTTGCTTAATGATTCGATTCTTTTTCTATCCCCCCACATCATTTGTATTTAACAGCCAAAAGCCACACTTAGAGGGACATCATGGTAAAGTACTAAAACAAACGTTATTTAACCATATGTCAGTGATAATTACATCATCTGGATCAGTGGATGGAAGAAAAGAGAGTGAGCAGGACTCTTCCTGTGGGAAAACGAGGGAGAAAATTTGTTCAGCTGTTTGTCTTCTGTGCCGTTTGTCTCTGTGTTTATTCTTCTTGTATTTCTTACTTTTTCAGACAACACTACTATCAAGAATGTGCTCGAAATAAAGGAAAACATGACCATGGGAAGCACACTGGTGACCAATCCCAATGGAGGATTTCTGGTGAGAGGATGTGTACATTTTTTCATAGCAAAGCCAAAAAAACAGACTTCTCACCACCACAAGTTCACTAGTTCACCAAACAGATTCCATGTTCCTCAATTACACTTCATGTCCCTGGAGAGTAATGGGATACTCTCCATCAGCTGTACAGATGAGAAAAAGATTGAGTCTAATTAAAAAGGAAAAAAAAAATCCACTCCTGTTAACGCTTTTATTTCGACCTGACGACAAGGAGTGAAACTAACAATTGAGGATTTGTGCAACTTGCTAAATGGTCCAAGAAAATTTGTCCAAAAAAAAAACAAAAAAAAAACTTAATGTAAGCAGATCAGCTGCAGCTGTGGAGCTGAAACTAAATACTGGAAATATGTTTATCACAATATTCTTAAATTAAATAGAAGTAATTTGTAAAGATGGCTGGATGGCGTGTTTACTGACTATTTGTAAAAACAATCTATTTGTATGTTGTGATAGTTCATTACAATTTTTACTGCTATCATTTCCCATTCACTTCAAAGATACATTCATTGTTTTTTGTTTGTTTGTTATTGCTTTGGCCATAGAATCCAGATAATTGTAATTTTTTAATGTTTTTGTATTTATTTATTGATGCTGCATGCTTCCTCGTTTTCAGAATTAGAGGTTTTAAGAATTCATGCAAATTTTGGAAATCAAACAAGGATTTATCTGCTTCCTCATGACATATTCCTCATAAATCTTCTAAGGAAACTGTAATGAGCACTGCTGATACGCACCTTTGTTTGTTTCACTTTAATTCAAAACATTGCAAAAAAAAAAAAAAAGCTAACGTGTCCAGAAACTAAAAGATTCATGTGTCCTGTGCAAACAGGTATAAAATCTGCCTCATTCGACAACAAAATAATGTGCACAGCCAGCAAGGTTTAATGAGCTCTACACAAAAAATAGGCTGTGAATTGGAAAAAAAAAAAAATTCATACTCAAAACTTGTTCACAAGCTGAGTGAGAAAATTCATGTATTTTCTCGAGTTTGGATTTATTTTTCGCCAACTACTCTCCCAGTAGTCACATCTTGGATAACTCCTTTACAGAAATGGCAGTGCCTTTTGTAAAAAATCATTTCTGAAACGCTCCAGAACATTTGGGAAAATTTTAGGAAATCAGGCCAGAATTTAACTTTTTTTCCTTTAGTTTTTGCAGCACTAGTCATTTTAAAAGCAAACCTTTTGTTAATATTTCAAGGCTCTCTAGTGGTTTAAAACAGTCTCCGTCCTGTTTGAGTATTTATATTTCCTCTTGGGTTCTCTACTTTTGCTCTGCATCAACCCTGAACCTTCTCTTGCCCATGACCTCATACTGGTGGAAAGTTAACCAGTCCCAGCCTGAATGTTTCACTTTCTCACTGTCTGAGTTTGTTTGTGTGTCCCCTGTCTCCACAGGCGTGCGGTCCTCAGTACGGGTACATATGTGGCCAACTCCAGTATATCACAGGGGTTTGTGCGAACGTCAGCTCCTCCTTCCAGGTCCTCAACTCCATAGCTCCTGAAGTTCAAAGTATGTATAATAGTAATAGGCTTCTGTTTTGTGCAAGACGTGATGGCATTTGTACTGACTGGTCTCACCAGGATAAGAGATAACTGTCTACCGAGCATAGCAGCACCACCCAAGACTCAGACATCAAACTCATCCTCCCTTAGAGAAGAGGAAGATTAGATCATTCTTCTTAATGTAAACTTGTCTGCCATTCTGTTCCTCCCTGGTCTGGCCCAGCCCAGCTCTTCTGCTGCGTTGTATGCCCAAGTTAGGAGACAGTTTACTGGACTGTGGTAAGTTTCCTTGGAAGGAAACAGCCAGTAAGTCTCCAGTTGTTGTCTCAGAGTTTCACTTTCACGGTTACTCTTTCATCAGAGGAAAACATACAAACAGATCATATGATGCTGTGGACAAAACAAAACATTAATGTTATTTACAGCAATAATACTGATACAATCGGGATTGATTTTTCAACACTGCATGAAAGTATATTACCAGCCTGATGTTAAGTTTTGTGCAGTTTCTCTTCAAGTGAGTAAATGTACTTATTGTCTTTATATGAATTAGCACCAGGTTTAAAACCACAGCTTACAAGGCTGGAACCCAGAACAAATAATCTATAAAAAAAATAAAAAAAAACCTAAACAGTACCTTCCACTTATTTTAGTGAAGTTTTTGCATTTGTGACCTCATAGCAGCCTCCATATGGGACAGTGTACTGACATTCCAGCTACTAATATTTGTTGAGACACTGTGCACGCTAACAGTGAGGGTGTTAAAGACTCTAATGCTCATGTTTCTTATGGGGTTCTGTAATGCTAGGTGCACAAATAGCAATATTTTCTTAACATGGCTAACCAGAACCTTCAAAATGCGTTCAGACACTCTTTTGTACCATGCTGGTGAAGATTAGGTCATCCAGGACATGATAAATTCAAAAACGTTCAATACCAAAACAACTGGACTTTACGTACACTTCACCACTCGCTCCCCACGAGATCGGATGCTTCTCTCCCTCCCTCTCCGCTTTGCTTTGCTGCTCTGTCTGTCTGTGAAATTGCTGTGAGACTCTCTTGCATTTCTTCCGAACCATAATTATGGACTTGTTTTGACCGGTTGGTCCCTCAACTCAATTTACAACATTTCTTCGAAGCGAAGACAGGCTTTGGGTGAGACAATTTACCCTGTTGGCACGTACGCAGCTGGATATCTCATCGACTGGAAAACTTAATGATGTGTCTATCTCTGCTGCCATCTGTGGATTTGAAGGACACATATTTAATTGGATTCACGATAACTGGTTCCTGCTTTTTGGATTCAGCTGGTGCTGGTTTTATCTACAATAAAGGAAGTCGGCAGCAGCAAATTTGGACCTGATCACGCTGCTTGCCTTTATGATGGCTTGGTTCATGTCTGGAGTACCCGGACTCAAATGCTTTGGGCTGAATGGATCAGATCTTGGGGATTTTTACCCAGTCACGTTCCATCGGTGTGGCCATGTTAATTTGGACATTTCAGAACCGAGTGGACCGACACAGACTGAAGGTTGATGTCATTAAGTTCTGCCTGTCCCCAAAACAACTGTGTGTTTATCTAAATTTTGGTCGCCTTGGCTGTCCTTGAAGGCCATCTTATCTAAAGTCGCCTGGAGAACATGTGATCTGACGCTCACCATCCCCTCCCTGAGGAATTTCCAACTGATAACCAGATGAGCCAGCTGAGTAAACTTTGTGTCATCATTTCAGGACTCTGGATTCTTATAGAGGTTATCCTTGGCCATTTCTCGACGTACCTCGGTACCTCGATACCTGTTTATGGATCTCACCGGAGGACATTGACTGATTACAGTGACCTCGAGAGCATCTATAAGCTTGCTGACCGCTCTCGTCTCTGATGCAGAATGTCTACGTAAATATGTGCTTGTTTGTGAGAGGTGTTTTTTCAATATTAGAGGTTTTTCTCAGCCAAGAAAAAAGTCTGATAGGAATTTTTTTCGCCTCCAACTCCTACATGTGTCCAGTTAACCACTGTTTTTTGTCCGTCCAAACAGGTCTCACTTGTAAATGAGTCTTCGAGGCTCAATGTGATTTATCTGTTTAAATAAAGGTTGAATGAATTTGTAACAGAAGACGTTTCGCTTTCATCCGAGGAGCTTTTTCAATTCAAAGAGCAGTGAGTATGGGGTTCAGGTTATAAGGCTGTCTTATGTACCTTCAAGCCATTCTGACATCTGCAAAACCACCACACGCCATGCTGTTAGACATTTTGACTGCATGGCCTCATTAAAACCCTCAAGGCAACCTCTATTAAGTTTTGTAAATGGATCCACTTGCGGGCAGCACGGTGGTGCAGTTGATAGAGCTGCTGCCTCTCAGCGAGCAGGTTACCCTTGTTCAAATCCCAGTCTGGGGGCCTTTCTGGGTGGAGTTTGCATGTTCTCTCCTTGCATGTGTGGATTCTCTCCGGGTACTCCGGTTTCCTCCCACAGACCAAAAACATGCATGTTAGGCTGATTGGTAACTCTAAATTGTCCCTAGGTGTGAGTGAGAGAGTGAATGGTTGTTTGTCTCTATGTGTCTGTGATGGACTGGAGACCTGTTAAGAGTGTACCCTGCCCTCGTACAGTGATTACTGGACATGGGCACCAGTGACCTCCATGACCCCAAAAGGAAGAAGAGGGTAAAAGATAATGGATGGATGGATGGATGGATGGATGGATGGATGGGTCCACTCACTTGACCTCTAACACAACAAACATAACAGTCAACCACGGCAATGGAGAAACAAGATAACTCGCTAACTATGATGCAATCCAGCTCATCATGAGGTCACTGTGACATCTGTGTGTCTCATACCACCAGTCTTCACTAGTTTTTACTGTAGTTTGTTGCTGTCATTGTTTACTGTTATTGTTGCATGTACTTTATATGTTCTGCCTGGAACAGGTCTCTCTTGTAAATGAGTCCTCGTGGCTAAATGAGACTAGCCTGTATAAATAAAGGTTGAATGAATGAATTCATGCAAACCCAGTCAGTTTTTGGTAATGCTATATAATGTGTCTCTGAGCCATCGACAGTTAACCTGTTCTGTTAACCTTTAGTCTCTGACTGTAACGTGACTGTGACATCTGCTCACACAGACTCATGTTCGTGCTGCTGTTGTTCGGCGTATTGTTTATGTACTACTAGTGCTTAGCATATTCTTAGTTTAGCGTATTTCTTAATTCATATCTTAGATCTTATTACAGTTTTTCTTTACAATTTAAACTTTTGTTGGGTGTAACTGGGACCCTGTGTACCCAATTTCATTCCACCACATGTACCACATGCAGTGTGTATGACAAATAAAGAAACTGACTTTGAAAGATGCTCCAGCAACTGCCTGATAACAAACAGTGTTTCTCCACTCGAGATGCCACCTGTTCTGTCCATCACTGGTCAGCCAGCACAACAAACTAGATCCAAATCAACTATTTCTTCTGGGTGTTTATTGTTATTTTGCTTTTTGTTTTTTGTCAGGGAGTGTGATGTAATCTTTTAAAATAAAGTCATGCAAATATGTTTACCAGTCTAACCTGCTTTTTCATAATTTGAATAATCTTGAATGACTTATCCAATGAACCAATAAAAACAGCAAATTAAAGCTGAAGAGTCCTTAAAAATATACACAGAGTGATCCCCTGCTCTTTATTATTACAGTTTAATTTGGAGTCACAAGTACACAGATTGGAGACAGGGTGGCTTACATAATTTAGGTTTGTAGAATAAAATCAGTAGTCTAATGTGTTTATTTGGACCAGTTTAAAAATGGACAGAGCAGGACAAATCTCTTCATTCAGTGTGCCTCTTATTGTCTGCAAACAAAACCTAAACTTCCCTTGTAATTAACTGTATATTTCTTGTTTTTTTTCCTCAGGCTGTTCAAATAAACTGGACATTGTGTTTGTGTTGGATGGATCTAACAGTATCTACCCATGGGAAAGCATTGTCAACTTTATATGCCGTTTCCTGGAGAAAACCCACTTTGACCCTAAGCAATCACAAGTCAGTTGAAATTTCAGTTCCTATGGGAGCCAAAGAGTTAAACATGACACTTGTTGGATAAATTAATTAGACTGACATTTCTTGTTATGATTGTATTAGCTGACCTTTCAATTTTTTTGTATTACATTAGATCATACAGATAGATTATATTAGATCACCACAGCCCTCTGCATTATGGGATTTCCTATCAATTGTAAGAAAATTTGAAGTGAATATGTTCCAACTGTTAAAGTATGCTAATCTTTTGTCTAGTCAATTCCTACCTTGAGTGCACTTTTGTCAACTCGTCTTGAAATGGGCAGTTAGTTTAGAAATTGTATACATTTTCACAGGGAAGCACTGGAAAAATCTTTTTGCTGTGGAGTCTAGTGGGTAAAAGTCACGTCTTCCACGATTCTTGAAAAAAATGTTTTTTATTGCATCAACTCCACCAGACCAAGCCACATCCTCTGCAGATTTCCTGGGAGGGCCTGACAAGAAGAAAACAGCACTTAATTTGATGTGGAATAAGATTTACAAGACAACTCTGTGTGTATGTGTGTTTCAGGTGGGCATAGTGTCCTATGGTGAGGATGTAACTCACCAGGTCAACCTCAGCCAGTTTCACAGCAGCTCTGAGCTGCTGAAATTTGTCAAAAAACTTCCTCAGCATGGAGGGACAAAGACCCACACTTTCTTGGCTATCGAGACCGCAAGGTACGCAACAATAGTTCATCTTAGTGTTCCCAGTCACTGAATGGAGAGGGGCAATTGGAAATTCTGTTCGTTCATCTGTTCATCCATTTCTACGTGAATGTTGTGAACATGATAACTTGAAAAATAAGTGAGGTACTTACTTCCATTTTGGTGTGTGGCTACATAGGTACAAGAAAGTTTCCTTTTGAAAATTGAGTTGACACATCAACATCCAAGATGGCTGCTGCCTTATATCTATATATGCTAAGTTGTGTGCAGAATAACAAAAACAACAAAAAAAAAGTAACGTGCTGACTTCCATTTTGGTGTGTGGCTGCTTCTAGGCATAATAAAAGTCAGTATAAAAAATTGGATTGCCACATCAAAGGCCAAGACTGCCACCACTGACCACACATCATGTGAGGAAATTATTCTTTTTAGTTTATAGATTGTTTAAAATTATAGTTTCCTCAAATAACTGTGGTGGCTAGTGGGGTGGCCAAAGATTAATATATGGTGGCCAAGGCCACCATTGACCACTCACTGGCTCTACCCTTGTGCCTGGTGGTGGATAAAATTGCTCCCTCCACTCACCAGGATCTGCCACTCTGTGCTGCCTCAATCAAGAAAATGATTAAAAAAATAACTAAATAAAATAAAAACTACTTATCTACTTATACACAGTGGAACTCATACCCACTTAAAAATCTTGCACCAAAAACATTAAGGTTTTCTTGCATTCCCTGTTAAACTCTAGTCCAGAAAGACACGTCTTGAAAACTACAAACATTCACTATTTAAATCCCTCAGCAATACAGGATTTGGTATACCACTTGTTTTTTTTCTAGACCAGCCTGTATGGAAAGGTGAGTTTAAATAAATTAGTTAACACTTGTTTTTATACGTTGTCCACCCCATTTATACTTATTGTGAATACATAAGTAACAAGGATCATCTGACTTTCTACAACTCTGGTTGTCATGTTTCTGTTTTTTCTTTTCATTTTTTTTCCTGTCTTGTTTTATACCAATTTAGAAAGGAGGCGTTCACAACAGAGAGGGGTGCACGACCTGATGCAAAGAAAGTCATGGTGATTTTGACTGACGGAGAGTCACATGACTTCTACAAACAAAAAGAGGTCATCCGCGAATGTGAGAATGATGGCATCATCAGGTTTGGCATTGCTGTGGGTACAAACTGCTTTTGTCTTGTCAATAATGGTACTTCTTCCAGTTATCTAACTGTTAACAATGGTGTACCACAAGGCTCAGTCTTAGGACCCACCCTCTTCACAATCTACATATGTAATATAGGTCAGATGTATGTAGTTGATGCATCAACATATTTTAATATCATTTTCTTCCATTTTTTTAATTTATATGCCTTTTATGATTGTCTACAGTTGCCATTGTTGTCTTCTGTTGTCATCATTCTTTGTTAAAAACAGGTCTCTCTTGTAAATGAGTCCTCGAGGGTCAATGAGATTTGAATCAATGAATTAATTAGAATTTTTTTTATCATTTAGTCAAGTTTTACATTCACCTAAAGTGTTCACATATAATCCAAAAAGATTCTGGAATGTGGCAATGCAGCCGTTTTACAGTCTATAGCAACAAAATGTTTAAAATCATCATATCTAATCAGCTTTATTGACAATTTTGGACATTTTCAATTATCTTGTTACTCAGTAGGATGCAATTATTAAGCTCTCTTGAGTCTGAGTCATAGTTTTTTGTTGTTTCCAGGTTCTGGGTTACTACAGACGTAGCAATGGAAGCGAAGAGCAAGTGGAGAAGTTTATTAATGAGATTAAATCGATTTCCAGTGAGCCGGTACACGATCACTTCTTCAACGTGTCTGATGAATTTGCTTTGGAGAACTTTGCCGACACGCTGGGAGATAAGGTTTTTGCTTTGGAAGGTAAAAACAGAAACTCGCATTCATGTATTTACAGTATTATCCAAGCTTACAGCTGAAGAGTGACATATTTGGTTAGCGCCAAGTGTTCAGTGGAGTGAGCAAGTGGCCTGGCTCACGACTGAATGTGGTGAAACTCTAAAATGAAAATTATTCATTTTTGTAACTATTACAGCTATTTATTGGGTAATGTTGTTTTTTATTGATGCAAACCTCTGTAATATAACACTAATTAAAAGCATCAGTTTTATTGTAGGAGTCCATTTATTTTTCCGACTGCAATTGTTTTCCAGATAAATGCATATTCAAGTGACCAAATGTATGTGCCTTGTGCAGGCTATTATTTTAAAGCAGATTAATTTGTATATTTATAATATAATGACAATATGCTAACAGTTTTATTTTGCACAATTTTTTTTTTTTTTTTACTTAAACCACTTTTTTCCTTACTCAGCAACTTCTGGGAATCATACTTCCTCTTTTGAGATGGAGATGTCCCAAACTGGGTTTAGTGCACATTCTTCCAACGTAAGTTCAAATCCAATTCATTTGTACGTCGATTTAATACATTTCTAGTTTGTTAAATTTAAAAGTTAGTGAAAAATTAATTTTCTGTACAACAGATGTTTTTGGTAAATAATACCTTTAGGGAACAATAAACATAACTGCATGCAATCACTGAGGAAATGTTTATACATGTCTATAATTATTAAACTAACACATGATGTAGTATTATCTCAGACACATCTTTAGCTCATTAATGATTCACCTCAGTTTTTGCTGTGTCCTCGTGGTCATGGTTTGTCTAATTGCATTTGAGTCAGAAAGAGAAGAGACGCTCTGAGAGGCTGAATTAGTTGGTTGTTGATTTAGCCTCCTCGCATGACTCTTAAATTCATTTTGTAGGTATTTCCTTTGTTAGTTTAGAAACAAACGGGATCCTTTCTTACGCCCCACTTCCTGTTCCTGACTCATGTTTTTCACCCCCTCTGTCATCGTGCACATTGTCTCTGGGCCTGAGGTGGCTTTTATCTTAACACAACCAGACAGAACGAGTTGATCCACAGAGGGTTAAACATGTGACCTCACGCTTTGATGGTTATAGTGGAAAAAAAAAAAAAAAAATTGTGAAGTTGATTGTGCCCTAATTATTTAAATCCCCAACATCCAATCAAATGAATGGCCAATCTATGTTCTGGCATTTTTAGTTTTAATTTATCATTTTAGGTTTTTCCTCTTATAAATTTTAATGATTTACCATGTAAACATTATTTTTGCTATAAGTTTTTGTTGGTTAAACTTTTGACAAGTTTTATAAAGTTAATTATGTTCAATAATGCATCTATTTCTTTTTAACAACAGCTTAAGATTTATTTATTTCTGTCACAAAGCTGGAGCAAAAGTAGATGTTTTTTACGTTGCTTTTATTAATTACATCAACAATTATCAGAATATTATTGTTTCTCTCTTTAATATTAGTTCAGCAGCAGGAATAATGTAGCTGTTGTTGGTAATGTGTTGCTTGAGTTGCTCATTCGTGCCTCTCCATCATATGTTTGACTATAATTGTTTTAACACAAATTAACTGATAACTTTTCAAAAGTCTTATTAAATCAAGATTATTTAGCTTCTGTGAGCTTTTCCATTTACATAATAAGTGCATTTGATATTTTACCTTTTCCTCAAGTAACTTCAAGTCATGTTTTGTTCTTCCCTGTGTAATTCTCCACCCACACGCTTGAGAATAAAACTAAATTATTTGGATAATCTTGTTGCTTTGACCTCTCCTGTGTTTCCTCTTGTAGGAGGGTTTGTTACTGGGAGCAGTTGGAGCATATGACTGGAATGGAACGGTGGTGATGCAAACAGCTAAACAAACGATCATCCCCAAAAAAACTCAGTTTTATGATTCAAAGTCTGAGGCTGGGTATGAAGGACTAGCTGGGTACCTTGGTGAGTTAAACATATGAATAAATACTGTATTTTCTTACTTGTCTTCATCATACATGTACATGTACACCTAAAAATGTGCAAATATGCACATTCGAATTAAAAATAATAAAGATCGTTATCCTCAAATTTTTCATTCAGTTTAGATAAGTGGTTACCGTATTTTTCGGACTATAATGCACACTTAAAATCCTTTAATTTTCTCAAAAATAGACATTGAGCCTTATAATCCGGTGCATCTTATGTATTAATTCTGGTTGTGCTTACTGACCTGGAACCGATTTTATGTGGTTATTGTGAATGAGTTGAATAAAGTTTGACTTATCTGACTGATTTGTTTTGCTTAATGCACCTTATAGTCCAAAAAATACGGTAATTCATAAATCTTTAGGCTTTCAACCCACAAAAAGTAACACAAACTTGTGACCCCCCCAACAACAACTTCTAGAAAATAATGTACAAACATGTTATACCCATTATATATTCTTTAACCATCTAAGTCCACTGTTTTTAAATCATTGCAACAGTTTAGGCCAGAGGTGTCCAAACTTTTTCACATCTGTGCCAAAACTATCCAGATGAAAACACTCATGGGCCACAAAAAAATGTGAACTTAACTCTCAACAATGTGAACAATATTTTGGAGAAAAGACAAAAGTTGACTAAAGTTGGCGGAGAAAGAAATTTAAATTGATGTAAATCCAGAACATTAAAAGCCTCATAAACACTAAGCTTATATTTTTATTAAAAAATGTTTAATTTGTTTGATTTGTTGGGTCTATGTTTTTTGTTTTCTTGTGTTTGGAAAGTTCATTTTAGTCCGTTCTCAGCAGCAAAAGCATAATTTGAGTAAGTGTCCTTTTAAAGAGGGGTTGATCAGCATTTTGGATTATGGACGGTCCAAAAGGCTGATCGAAGCTCTGAAAAACCATCAGCTGTCAGTCGCTAAAACAGATTCATTGAAGGTTCGAAGGGAAACTGATAAAGTTGATCAACCGATATGTAGATGATACCACTTTATATTACATAATAGAAAAATGTCCAATTTCCCTCTATTAATTATTATATCAACTGCAATTTGTTATATTTAGCCAAGTTTTATGAAAAATTATCCAAAAGTCTCTGTTTTGTTAAGAGTCTGTAAAAGTTTGTGGTGCTTTGTACCACAAGGTGAAAATAAAAAGATTCATTATAGCCAAAGGTTAGTATTTTGTTATTGTTGCTCATTTTGAGAAAAATTTTTAATCTGTTTTGCTGTTTAACCTAAACATGTTATAAAAAGGATTACCAATGAATTTGCAGAAAGTCTGCATTAACCTCTTAAGCCTGCTGGCCAAAATGATACCATTCATAAACTGCAGTTGTGGGCCACTCAGAAACACTCCAAGGACCACAAATGGCCCTCGAGCCACAGTTTGGACACTCCTGGTTTAGGCTAAAAATTGCCATTTGCAATCTTTTTAAAATGCTTCTGCGCATCTCAGGAACCTAACTAATATTTAGCTTTTTTTGGATTTTAGTAAAGGGTTTGCTACTTTGATATTTCAGCTCAATTTCTGCAAAGTCATTAAAATCTCAGTAGGTTTATGTGGCAAAGCATACAGCATGCACAGACAGAAGCATTGTTTTAGACATATCGCTTCATTAATTCTAATAATATTACTATTTGACATAGTTCACAGAGTTCTTTTAAAACTATAACCACAATACTCAAGGTCCTAAAGATATATATTTTCTTTATTATTTCTCTGTGGTTTTGATTTAACTGTAATTTTAAAAAGGCCTATCCTTTTAGGGATTAAGCATAATTTAAGAGCTGCGGCTGGAGCTGCGAGGAGTATAAAGATATATAATTTGTCAACATGACATCAGACCCTTCTTTCTCTTTATGTGTCCTAATATTAATGTACTGTATGCAGGCTCTTCTCTATGTCCCACTACCTTTTATGGCTTGCAAAGCAGCCACATCATTTTAATATCCAATTATTTAATCAACATGTCATTAGGTGGAGCACTGGTAAGACCAGGCTTGCATACAGTAAACTCAGCTGTTGGCAAATGCCCCAACCCAAAGGCCAGACTGCAGCTGTCAGAGCGCCTCTGTTCTTTACTGAGAAGATCCTGCCAGTTTCCACTGGTGTTTTACACTTGTAACAAAAGCAGACATAAACAGAAACTCAAAAAGTGTTTAAAAATATCTCATACAGAACTGGAGTGCATAGTTTCTATGGTGATTTTGAAAGTATAAAAATAGTTTAACCCGTTCATGATGATGTCTTAGTATAAAAATATGATTTTCACATGGTTTCCTGCAGGATATGATGTTCAATCTGCATCCACTCATAAAGGAGTGCTGTACATCACTGGGGCACCGCGGTACAACCACACTGGCCGTGTTGTCATCTATCGCATGGTAGAAGGCAGAATTTCTGTTTCACAAATACTGAAAGGAGATCAGGTAAATATGTGAAAGTCTGCAAACTTGCACATTGGTTCTCACTGTGCATCTCTAGCAAGCTGAAACTATTTTTAAAAAGTCATCAGTAAGTCTTTAGTTGTGTTTGAGATTATTTGATGCAGTGAATATAGTGTTAATGTAGCCAAATGAACAATTATCAATGCCTGCAGATTGGTTCCTACTTCGGCAGTGTCCTGCAAACTGTTGACATTGATGGAGATTCGTACACAGACCTCCTTCTTGTTGGAGCTCCAATGTACATGGGCTCAGAAAGAGACGAGCAGGGGCAAGTCTACGTCTACAAACTCAACCGGGTACTCAGCTCTGAAAACAAATGGACATTTTCGTCAGATTGCTTCAGACTTTCTCTGAGAAAGTAGAGCGATGGCAGAATCATAAAGCTTTGTCTCTCGTTATCTTTGTATTTCTTGGTTTCATTGACAGAGGGGCCGGTTTGAGCACGAGTTTACCCTAAAGCCTATCAACCAGACATGTTGTGCTGCCCAGTCAGCTGGCTGCACCAATAAAAATGAGCCATGCGGAGCTCGGTTTGGTACTGCCATAGCAGCTGTGTCTGATCTCAACCTTGATGGATTCAACGACGTAGTGATTGGTGCACCGTTTGAGAATGACCACAGAGGAGCTGTTTACATCTTCCATGGAGACAAGAAATCTCTGAAGAAGACGTTTGTACAGGTAAGAACCAAGAAGTCTTCATATAAGTCAAAGAGTCAGAGAGATTTATTTGTCATGCACACCACATGTGGTACATGAGGTGGGACGAAACTATGTACACAGTGTCCCAGTTACATCCAACAAAAACACAAATTGCAAAGAAAAACATTAGTAAGATCCGAGTCATGAACTATTCTACATTCACTATACTAAGAATACGAGAAGGGGTTCTCTGCAGACCAGAAGAGGGCGTTTCTGGACCATAGACGTATGTGGACGGTAAACACTGATTGGCTAGCTGTATTTGCTGGCTCTTTAGGTAAGTTACGTCAGCTCTTTTTAAAACTGAAGGTTTCTAAGAAGCAGCGTTATATCTGCTGTCAAGCACAGAAGATTCTTGTAGGCTGCACCTGACACAGGTTGGCTTGACTCTGGTCTGGGTACAATGAAAGATGAAGCATCTGACGTGAAACCTGCTCCTATTTGTCAAAAAGTCTGGCCTCAATTAAAAATCATGAGTCCTGTGACGAGATAATGGCCCAAAACAAAAGTAAAAAATTAAATTTACTGTTTAGAAGTGCTCTTCTATGAGACCTAATCTATGAAAAGAGCTGAAACATGGAGTAGGATTAACCCTTAAAATGTGAGACAGCTGAGGAAGTTAACCAGTAAGTAGAAATACCTGCTCCAGTTGCAGAAATCTTACAGAAACTGACAATCACTCATCTGCAATGACTGCAGGTTGAACAAGAAAATGTGAAGTTAAAGAAAACATCCTTTGTCTCAAAGCCAGTATCATTATTATTTTGGTTACTTTATATGATGATACAGCGGTGGTGGGATGCATCACAAACAATGATGAGTCCAGCTACAGGCAGGAGGTGGAACACCTGGAGAGCTGGTGCAGAGAGAATAACCTTCACATCAATGTGAAGAAGACAAAGGAGATGATTGTGGACTTCAGAAGGAACAAAAACACCTACACCCCCCTGAACATAAGAGGATCTGCGGTGGAAGTGGTCTCCAGCTACAAGTACTTGGGTGTACACATGAATGACAACCTCAGCTGGAGCAACAACACCACCAGCCTGATCAAGAAAGCTCATCAGAGACTCTACTTCCTCAGACGGCTGAGGCGAGCTGGTCTGGGAAGCTCAGTCCTCACCTCCTTCTACAGGTGTGCAGTGGAGAGCATCCTGTGCTCGAGCATCAATGTGTGGCATGGAGGCTGCACAGCTGCAGAAAGAAAAGCTTTGCAGAGAGTGGTGAAGGCTGCACAGAAATCTGTCGGAATCAGTCTCCCCACCATCACAGACATCTACACCTCCAGATGCAGGAAGAGGGCCACCTGCATCATGAAGGACCCCACCCACCCAGCACACACACTTTTTGCCCCACTCCCCTCAGGAAGGAGGTTAAGGAGCATTAAGTGTAGAACCACTAGACTGAGGAACAGCTTCTACCCTGAGGCTGTTAGACTCATGAATCTCTAACTAGAATAATCACTGTGAAAAACCATATCATGTTGCTGCTGATCTGTTTCATGTTGCTGCTGATCTGTTTCAATGTTGATGTGTTCATGCGTGCACATCTGCTCACAGACTCATGTTCATGTTTGTGCTGATGTTCAATGTTTTATGTTATGAGTGCTTAGTGTATATTTAGTTGATGTTTTTCTTAGTTCATATCTTAGATGTTATTACTGTTTTTCTTATACATTTTATTGTTGGATGTAACTGGGACCCTGCGTACATAATTTCGCTCCACCACATGTACCACATGAGGTGCGAATGACAATAAAGAAACTCTGACTCTGACTCTGACTCTGATATATTTTTTTGTATTTACAAATTGATTTGAACTATTTCACATTATTCAATAACCAAACCAGTTTTTTTTTTTTTGTTCCAGTAATGCCTTGTTTTTTATTGTCTAATCAGATGTGACCGTCCAGATACGCCTTCCGAATTTGTCTGCAGAGATACCTACTTGAAGAATACACAAGACTAAGAATACTCTAAGCACTAATAGTACAAAAACAATACGCCAAAACAACAGCAGCACGAACATGAGTCTGTGCGAGCAGATGAGGACTAATGAACACTAATGAGCTCAGCAACATGAAATAATTAGCAGCATGAGATCAGCATCATGGATAGTCAGCAGCACATATTAAAACCAAGTGATATTACGGTGATTTTTTCACAGTGATTTTTCCTGGTTAGAGATTCACGAGTCTAACAGCCTCAGGGTAGAAGCTGTTCTTCAGCCTGGTGGTTCTGCACTTAATGCTCTCATAATTGTTTTTGATGCATCCAACCACCGCTGTATCGTCTGCAAACTTTACAATGTGACAGCCTGGATGTGTCGGTATGCAGTCATACATTAGCAGAGTGAACAGGAGGGGGCTCAACACACAGCCCTGGGGGCATCATCATCCAGTTAGATGAACATAATCCCAATTTCTCTCCAATCTGATCTCAGTAAATTTCTCTGCCTTCTTGTCTGGTGTCTCCGCAGCACATCCCTGCAGGTGGTGATGGTGAAAAGATTAAATTTTTTGGTCAGTCCATCCATGGAGTGATGGATCTAAATGGAGACGGCATCACTGATGTTACCATAGGAGGCCTAGGAGGGGCTTCCCTGTTCTGGTGAGTGGGCTGATCTTCATTTACAGCATAAGCATCCACTCCTGCATTCCACCAGACATCAGCTTGCATGTCTGCTTTACATTATCTTGTACTGATTTAGACAGCTGTGCATGTCCCACTGGACTTGTAGGCTGAAGACAAACAGCTTCCTAATGATCTCTGCGCTTAAGCCTCCACCTACATGCAGTATTTCACTGCTGGACTCCAGAATGCTGAATCAACCCACAATATTCTGAAACACCAACCCACGCAGTGGTTTAGCTTCCCAGGCAGGTCTTCTCCCACAGCCTCTACTGGCAGGAGTTCAACAGAGCTGTGTGAAAACTACATTTCCCAAGTGGCTTAGAACTTTTATACCATTTGGCAGCCGGCAGCTGCTCTTGTTAAACTCTGACCTTATTTTAGAAAGCTTGAAAGTGGGTGGGGAGCTATGAAACCATTTTTTATGCTCAACAGGACATCCGCTTGTTCTTTCTACTAAAATAAAAGTATGCACATTTAATGAATTGTGCTTTTACTATTAAAATTCACTATTAACAGTTTATTGCAGCTATTCTCAGTTTTGTCTGAGATCCAAATCAGCAAAGAATTAAAGGCTTTTGCACCCCTAGAAGGACTGTGTATCACGCATCCCCTTGCATACAAAAGATTTAAACAAAGAACTTGCAGCTCTCAGAGTTTGTGATGTGGAAGACTCTCAACTACCATCACTTTAAATTTTAGCTCAGTATCTGTAAAACAGACCAAGGTAATGCTATTTTTGTTGTTTATCTGTGGCTAAAATGGTTATTTTCTAAGATCTTTAGTAAAATCCATTCAGTACTTTGTGATATATTTTGCTAACAGAATGATGAATATGTATTGAAGAAATGTGAAAAAAGTATTTATATTTTTATGTGTGCATTTTGCCTTCATTTCCACAGGACCAGAGATGTGGCAGAGCTGCATGCTAACATGACTTTTAACCCTGTTAAAATCAACCTGCAGCAGTCTCAGTACCAGTGTGATGGAGGCACCTCGGTGTGTGTGAACACCACCGTTTGTTATCGCTATGTTGTAAAATCTCACAAGAAGGATGTGAACCCTCCTGCAGGTGAGCAAAAACTCATCAGATTATTTCCCTGATGATTTTTTTCCGCATTTCTCCATTGCTATTTTCCAACACTACCATATTGTTTGCCCTATAAGTTGCAGGTTTTTTTGCATAATTTATATGCCCTGCGACTTATACGCTGAAGCATCGTATTTATTGATTTTTTTCCCCCATATTTATAAACCAAATTTTGGCTGAGATATGACCGTTTTCATTAATTCTGACTGAAAATATTGAGCACTTGAGTGTATGGCATGCCGTTGTGTTATGTAATAGGTAAAAAGTGTCCATTAATGACACAATCGGTTTTCCACAGCCTGTCACCTTCATCCAGCTCGCTTGGCGCAACCGTCAAATCAGCTTAAATGTGTTGCGCCGCCCCGGCAAAATGCAGCTACTTTGACCTTTGAAGTGCATTTATTAAGTAAAAGTTCAACTGAGACAAGCCTTTACTATAATTTAGAGCAAACAAATAATTGTTTTTAAGTGTTTATCTTGTTAAATTCTTGTTAAAGTAACAAATGCAACATTTCAGCGGTGACGCATGATAGATACAACTTGTACGGCGAAGTGACGTATTTATTTTTCCACTTTATTAGACATTTTTGGACTGATGTGACTTACAGGGCGGTGTGACGTGTACCGCGGAAATAACGGTACATTCTTTGTTTGTTGTCACTTTCAGAAATCCGTTATACGATTACTCTGGATGCTCTGCGTGCAAAGGCCAGGGCTTCGTTTGTTGAACAGGGCACTGAGAAAAGTGATCGCAAGATTACCAAGACCTTCAAAATCAAAGACAGAGAAGAGAAATGCCTGAAAGAAAAATTCAAAATGTCGGCAAGTACTGTGATTTTTACGATGCTATGATTTCATACCTCAACAACCATTCTGTAGAATTATCACATGATAATGCCTTAAATGTCTCCGCTGTTGATTCCTAAAAGTTGCGTATGTGAGATGCAAGTAATGTCCAAAGGCTGTCTGTTGTAGACGACCCAGGACAAAGAAGTGTTCTGCAGAGCATGAAGAGACCTTGGTTCTAACATGAAACAGAGCCGTCAAGATCAAAGCATGCAGGGTTCAGCCTCGTGCTTCTCGGAGTGATAAATTAACTGAACTGGGGACATGCGGAGGGATGGAGAAAGAACGTGAATGAACAACCAAAATGAATTAGGTGCTTTATGTTAGTCGTTCCAGGTTAAAGCAGTTGTTTGAATTCACAACAGACTTTTCAGTGTTACAACTAAAACATCGACTGTAAACTTTAGAGCCTCCAAAAAGTTTATTTTTCCAGGCGTTCACTGCGATTAAGGCTTTTATTGATCAGCTGTTCTCAAGCAGAGAAACTAATCAGTGCCAACAGCTGCTGTTGCTGCTGTGCACGGTGATCATGAATACTTGCTCTGTTCTGATGTGCAAGTCTGCAGAAATGTGCCACGTATTCAGGGATTTCCAAGGGTTAAGAAATTTGTCACAGAAACAAAAACCTGATTCTATTGTTTAATGAAACTTGTTTCGCTGTTCAGATGCTGGCAATGCTTGCAGCGTGCCAGTTTAGTTAATGCACGTCTTTTAGAAACACAAACTCATGAGAAAAAATGCAGAAGTCGCACAGAAAGGCTCCAGTTTGCCAACAGCTTCAAGCCAAGAGCTCAACCTTCTGCGTCGTATTGCTAACAGTAATTGCTGAAATACTGTCTGAGTCACCGCGTCTGTCAAGGTCGACACAGCAGAATGCGATAATGGCTGAAGGCAAATCAGTTCAATTACAAATGAATGATTAATACATTTAATAATGGATAACATAACGGATTTATCGTTGCCGATTTTCAACAGTCATGAACGAAACATAAACATTTGTTTTCCTCTGCAAACAAAAAAACAACTTGTCTTTATAGCAAAGTTCATGCTCAAATAATCCAGATAAAAATCCAGCAATGTTCAATCAGATCATCTGGATTTTTTTTTTTTTTTGACGTTTTGTCCTTCATCCAAAGAACTTCTTCAATCTGAGGAGCCACCAA